AAGTGAGTGTGTAGTTACTTTCTTCTAACGCATAATTATGAAGTATTTTATACGAAATACGTGTTATGTGTATAGTTTTGTTGTTATGTAAGTGAATGTATATTCACTCTCTTTAATCACATAGATCTGATTTGTTTTCTATGAAATACGTGTTATGTGGGTATGCCTCATCTGTTGTGTGGAATATATATTGAATGAAAATGATATATACAGGTTTTAAACTATGTATAAAAATATATATTTTTATCTACTAATATGTTGGGTAGAACATGGGTAGATAGTTGGTGTGTAATAAATAGATGAGAGGCCTCGATGTTGTTGTTGTTGTTGACCTAGTTATTCAGCGGAGTATGGATAACGACCACAGACTCCTTCTAGACAGTCTCGTGGAACGCTAGCAGGTTCATAACCTGTAGGTGTTGTGAACGATGTGTTCACCGGTGTACTCTATCCCCCTCATGGTTGCCTTTAGGATATCTATTGTTGAGGAAACCCCTTAGCAGTAATGTCCGTCCCGATGAAAATCCTAGATTAGGTCCCCTGAGATAGATGTTGTTTTATGGACGTAAAGTGAGGATAACGGGAATGGGTAATCGGGATAGTGATTGGTTCGTGAATTTAAATATAATTTATGTATTGTGGGTTGAAAACCCTATATGCTCACCAGGCTCCCAAGTCTGACCCACTCAGTTTTATTTGTATTACAGGAAGTGGCGCAAGGGCGTAAGATGGACGAACCATCAAGTTGTTTTGTTTACAAGTCTGTATATGTATATATTTGTTGAATGACTTGTAATGTTATTGTTTATGCTTAATGGTCTGTATCGGAACATGACACCCCGAGTTTTAATTATATAATGAAAATGCATCTCTTGATGAAATGCTTTGATAAATATTATTTTATCATGTTTTGTTTTGGGAACAAATTCCGCAACTCTTTCAAATCAAAAGGATTTACTCTGAATTTATTTTAAAAAGCATAAATAAAAATCGGTCTTTTCTGGCCGAAATTTTGGGGATGTCACATATTGGCAGAAGGTTAGACAGGGCTATAAGCCTGAAATCTACCAAAATGTTAATCTGAAGTTATATGTCTTATGTGCCATTTGGGCCAAAGCTTTATTAATGTATATTAAGTATGGAAATTGTTGTGTCTCATTGATTGTATATCTTTGAATCAAATCAATGATTGATATGGAAACTTTGTCACATGATTCACATATGCCCTTGTTGTTCCTTGTTCCTCTTTGCTTTTGGCATATTGAAGTGTATATATATATATAATATATATATATATATATATATATATATATGACATAACGTTATTTTGTATCTATTATTGAATTCACTAAGCGTCACCGCTTAACCTCTCAATGTTTAACAAATTGCAGGAGATAAGCATCCAGTATAGTTATATACTGGTAGAAGATTTTTGAATAGTTTGAAACTATTGCATTGATAGAAGCTTATTAATAGTTTGATACTATTGTATTTTGCACTCCCATATGTATAAAACTATAGAATCCTAGGAAGTTATGTAATATATAGCACTTTAAAATAGTCAGTTTGTATCTAGTAGTTTGAAACCTCTTTATCAATGTAAAATATCGTTTTTATGAATATGCAAGTAGCATGTTTTGGAGTAACTATATTGTCAAGTATGAATGTTTGGGTCTTTCATAAATACGAAAGTGAGGGTCTTTCGGTTTCCTTTTTATATTTAAGTTTAATCGTTTTTTAAATCAATCTGTATAATATACGGGTCTCACACCTAGTATAGTAATAACTATGAATTCACCATGTAAAAACACTTTAAAGTATATAGTATTATCATGGTGCTAAAAAGTCATTGGAGAATTTAACTAGAGGAGAAAGTATTTTAGTGGAGGTTTTTGCATGCATAAATCTAGGAGCACGTAATTTAGTGGAGGTTTTTGTATGCAATTTGGATTGTATGTATACATGTGTATAATGTATGTACGTGTGTATTTGTACGCAATTTGGATTGTATTTGTATGCAATGTGTAAACTACAATGCCATAATGGAAAAAATTAGGATGCTATTATTGAAATTGTTACTTAAAGTACATTACTATAATAGTTCCTATGTAATGTGTATTTGTAAAAAAATTGGTAATTACGAGTTTGTTGGTTTGTTAGTTTGTTAGTTTGATTGTTGGTTTAACTTAGAAGGTTAATGTTTGTTCATTGGATTCTTAAGTTATTATTTGTTTAACTTAGAAGGTTAAATCCGCAATTGGTAGTTTTCTTATCATTTGGTGATTTTCAGTTTCGTTTATGTTAACAGTTTAACTTACAAGTTTATATGTTGTTATTTACGATGTAGTTGGAGAATCTTTGATCAATGTCAAACGATCCGGAGTGTACTACAGAACTTATAGGAAAGAACTAGGGTGGCGGTGATGATGACACATCGGATTAGTTTTATCTTTTATTAAAGATTGTAGTATGACATAAATTTATTATGGTGTATGTATGATATTATAAAAATTGGGTGTTATGTAAGCGTTTTTATGCATGTAACGTTATTATGTGTCGATTTGTGGACACCCGAAAATGGTTGTTTTTTTAAATAAAATAAAAAAAAAACAATATTGGTGACATAGAGCATTAGCGGTGACATTAAGCATTAGCGTGTCGATTTCCTGAGCAATAGCGACGGGGCAACAGCAGCGACTCAATAGCGGCGACTTGTCGCCGATAATGGTATTAACGGCGACTTCGGTGAGCAATAGCGACGATTTTTGTCGTTGCTAATACCCTTTTTCTTGTAGTGTGAAAACTGGTACCGGTAATGTTTAACTCGATTTTGTACGCGGTATCGGGTTTCACCCCTTTTGATATTTCAAAATAAAAATGGATCTTTTAGTTCATAATAAAGTAAGTATTAGAAAATTTATGTATAAAATAATAATGGTAGGGCGGAGCTTGAACAGTTAATTTGGAGGTTCAAAATTAAAATTACCATTTTTATATATATAAAAAATAGAGCACCTCAACTCAAATTTTATATTTTAAGTCTAATATATATATAAAAGTTAGTCGGTTATGACTACTTTTAAATAAAAACCACAATGCAAATAGTATAAGAGTTGAATATGATGAGATGATTAGGATTAAATAAGAGTTGAATGGAATGTGGGTGATGCCATGGAGTAGATTTGAATAATCATTGAATGGTTCAATAGAAGGAATAAAGTGATGATTATGATTAAATAAGTGTTTAATTGATTGTAAGTGATATTGTATAAATGTTTAATGGATGATGTATCAATCTATTAAACTCTATAGAGTTCAATGGATGCCCTAAATAATGGTGTAAATATAGAAACCTTTCTTTTCGGGTGGAGCTTGGAAGAGAAAAAAGTAGTTTACAACATTTTAGTATGTGTATGCAGATATAGAAACCTATTTTTTCCTTTAATATCTAGAAGCTTAAATCATGAAATTTTAATGGATGAAACAAAATATTTAATGGAAAAATCAATAAATAACACAACCCTAAAACCCTTTCTACCCATTAGAGCATCCACAATGCAAATAATATAAGAGTTGAATAGGGTGAGATGATTAGGATTGAATAAGGGCGTGTTCGACATATATTTTTTGGAGTTTCTGACTTCTAGCTTAAAAAAAAAAAAAAAAAAAAAAAAAAAAAAAAAAAAAAAAAGTCTCGTTCGGCGACAAAACCATTTAGTTTTTTAGTCTACACAAAACTCTCCAAAATCAAAAACTACATTGAGTAGCTTTCAACAAAACGCTCCAAAATCAAAAGTTATCAGCTACCCGCTAGTTTTGCCGAACACGTCCTAAGAGTTGAATAGAGTGTGGGTGATGACATGGTGTATAGTTGAATGATCATTGAATGGTTTAATAGAAGTAATAAAGTGATGATTAAGATTGAGTATGTGTTTAATGAGTTGTGTGTGACGTTGTATAAATGTTTATTAGATGATGTGTCGATCAAACTCTATAAAGTTCAATGGATTATGGATGTTCTAAAGAATGGTGTAAATATAGAATCTTATTTTTCCCGGGCGGAGTTTGAAAGAAAAAAAAAAGAGTAGTTTACAACATGTTAGCATGTGTACGCAGATATAGAAACCTATTTTTCCTTTTAATATCTAGAAGCTTAAATCATGGAATTTTAATGGAGGAAACAAAATATGTAGCGGAAAAGTCAATAAATAACGCAACCCGGGTGTGTAGAGATTAGATACTTCTGGAAAACTAAAAAAGAAAATATTAACCTTTTTTAAACTTTCCATACATATATATATATATATATATATATATATATATATATATATATATATATATATATATATATATATATATATATATATATATAAAAGCAATAAATTATTTGAAAACTCATATATTTGTTCTTAGCATATCAATGGTGGCTAAAGCTAAGGCTAAAAAGTTACTAACTAATTGACCGAGATCAGAAACTTGCAATGCAAAGTGTAAACTAAAAAATAAAAATAAAAATATTTTTTAAAACTTTCCATACATTTAAAGATATTCTAATAGTTTTTAGAATGTATATATTTGTTCTAGTTGGTAAATAGTTATTGGATTTTCTAATATGTGTTTTAAGGGTACATATAAAAAGCATTAATTGATGATATATATTATCATAATTAATTATAAAATACATTAATTATAAGAAATATTATCATAATTAAATGTAAAATGCATTAATAATTTTCATAATAAATATATTTTAAATTTAATTATGGTAATATTTTTCATAATTACGTATTAGAAAATCTCATAGTTATTAATGTACAACTAACCATAATAATTTAGAAAACTTGGGCTACTAAGTGTTAAAAAAAAAAGTCTAAACAGACTACGAATCAAAGTCCATCGATGGGTATATATATCTATATCTTCACTACTTTTCATCTTTACAAAAGTGAAACACAACTTCTTCTTCGACCTGCAACATCAAAAATCCTAATTTTTCTGTAATGGATTCCACGTTCTGTTACGACATGAAGATGGAGATTCTTTGGAAAACATCACTAAAGACTCTTGACATCATTCGTTGTACCAGCAAAGAGTTGGAAAAACTCACATATGAATCGTATTTTCTGAGGCTGTACAACCAAAAAAACAATGACGACATGGTTTCTGGGTTTATCCAAGTAATCCTCCAAAATGCCGGTCAGTGCATGATCAACTTGTTTGCGCCGTCAACGTCGTCAAATCATGAATCAGCAAACAGTAGACGTCGACGACTGATTGATCTTGATTTTCTGCCACCCAAAGCTCAAATCCTGGCATCTTCGGAGCAAGGAATCATGGTGTTCCAGAGTCCTCATCCACGGGATTATAAGTTGGTTTGGTATCATGTTTGTAAGCCTGCAACTAAGCAGGTTTTGAGGTTGCCAAATCCGAAAACCAGGTATTTCACGCAGAATGTCGCCATGGTTGTGGTGGCTTCCAAGCCAGTACTGCATTACAAGATCATAAGACTATCCGAACCTAAACGTAAGAAACGTCGGTAAGTATCTACATACATTCAGTTCATGTTTACATACTTCAGCGATTAAATTAAGAATTATATATGCATGATGGTGTAATTAATTAATTACTATTTGGGTAGATTTTTTTTCTTTACTATATACAACGAATTAATTAAAAGTTATAAACAACAACATTAATTATTATTATTATTTTTGTTCAGGATTAAGCAATACTGCCCATACACGAAATATTGTTATGAAATCTTTGACTCAAAGGCATGGGCATGGAGACTACTAGATCCAGTACTATTGCCTTGTTCAGCCTTCCTGCTGACTAACCAACAACCGATCACCGCGAGGGGCTCAATCTACATGCTTTTGAATAACAATCAAGTCTTAAAATTTGAGGCATGTTCTGAAAAATGGACAACCTTTTCCCCACCTATTCAAACCCTCGATTATCCATGCAGCGATGCTACAAGGAAGCTCGTAAAGTACAAAGGCAAGTTGGGGTTTATTTGTGAGACACAAAGTCGACGTAAAATTTGGGTTCTGAGATCAGTCGATGATTCATGGGAGGAGAAACTTGATGTGTTTGACACTGAAAGAAGTTCATTGGATTTGGAGGCCATATATGAGTCAGAGACGAGGGTTAAGAATAATGATTACAACACACTTCATTCAAATCAGGTTTTCACCTTCCGATCCGATTTTGAGCCAGCAAACTTTTGATCGTTGATGGTCGACGAGAATTCATTATATCTGAACTGCATATGGAGAATTCATATTTGTATGTATGTTCTCGCTCTTTTAGCATTATTTCCTAGAGTTCGAATATAAATGGAAAAAAAAACGGATTTGATCAGTAGTTACCTTATGTTTTTGATTCATTATTTTAATATTTATGTTTAGTTTAGTATGGTTAAACGAGGAAAAGAGGAGTATATAAACCTTACTTAAATGTAATAATTAGCTCAACCGTAAATATTGATTATTCTTTCATATCCAAATTACGATTTTGTTGTTGTTGGTTGAAAGTTTCCCGGTTTAAATAATTTTCCTGACTCGGTAAAATTTTGAGAATATTACCCATCTATATATACTTTTGACCAAATGATTACAATATTCAAATTGCAACCGTTTGTATAAAAACATGGAATGAATCTTCAATCAAAGTTTTTAACTTTAATTCAAGGGAAAATGACATATAGGCCCTATAATGTTTTTAGGGTTTATCCATTTAACCACTTAACTTATCTTTTAGCCTAATAAGAGAACAAACTCTTTTTTATTGGGTCTATTAGGTCATTTTGGAAGAATTGAAGGGGTAAACCGGTTATCCCTTGCAACATAAGCTTTTCATATGACCCCACTTCCCTTGATCAATGTGTAATAAATCATCTTAGTTTTAATCTTCAGATACCTAGAAATTAGATCTTACACAAATCCATGTCAACATTTTCCTGGTTCTTACGTCCTTCGCGTTCGTCTTTCATAAACTACCACAATCTTGGCATGGTGCTGGAGGAAGTAGGCAGCGATTTTTGTTATCTATAGAGAGTGATGGGTGTCATCACCTATCTCCACCAAATCTTTGCTGATCTTTAACCCTTTTAATCTTTTTTCATCTTCCTCTTGATACAAACTTATGTAATTAATGTAAGAACAATTAGCCTAACACAAAACTAAATCCACCACCATCCTACACTCCACCTCGATAAACCCACATGCCAAATTATATTTGACCCCATAAAAATCTTGCAGAGGATTTTAGGGTTCATGAAATCAAACCCATCAATATCAAAGGGAAACACAACATTAATCATTTGACTCTGAACAAAGGGAAATACAACATTAATTATTCGACTCTAAACATAAACCCATTGAGTGAAATAAACAGGGCATACCTTACAAAATCAATACTTTTTTCACACTGTAATTTAAACCGCTCAATAATCAGGTGTGCGTGTGTGTATCTCTTAACCTGATACAACCCTAGAGATGAAATCTAGAGCCTTTGATGACGAAACAAACAACTCTAAATCCTAATAGCAACTACGAGATCATCATAAACAAAAATGCATCAAATCCTAACCCCCGTGATGTCCGACTAGATGCAAAACGCATTTGCTACTACAATGAATCTATGAAAATTTTGTTACGATTATATTTAATATTCCATTTTCGCCATAAATCAATGAAATTTAATCGGTTGAATTGAAAGAGGGATCACAGAAAGTTTACCGGAAGGGGAAGGCACCGAAGCAGTTTGTTCCAGTGAGGATGATGGGTTTGTGTTTGGATCTGTTAACAAGGAAGTTGTCAAAAGTGATGTTGACTTTCCAAAGGTTGATGTGGCAGAAATAGCTGACTTGGCATTGAAACCGGCTAAAATAAGTTATGGTGATTAAAAACACAGGTTGCTTCCTATCTTATGCCCCCATAAAGCAACAAAAATACTTTAGGGACATAAAAGGTCAACCCTAAAAAGTTCGTTGGACCGTTGTGTCATTTTCCCTTAATTCAAAGAACATGACGGACCCAAAAATTGATTGATGGTGTTGCCGGTTTTTTTTTTTCAGTCAAACATAATATAAAATCGAAAAATAATTCATTACGTCTAATACAAATAAGCGATCAATTACATAAAAGTTAAAAACATAACAACAATCTATCATCTATTACAATTTAAAATTGTCATATCGTATATACATCTTTTTAAAACCGTTTTATTACCTTTTCATTCTCAACTTTCACAAGTGTTTCAATCTCAACATAGCAAAGCAAACACGTCGTTCAAAAACTCATCGCTAATCTTGGTGCGCAAGTCGGTCTTCAAGAGCTTCATCTTCGAAAAATATTTTTCTACACTTGCGGTCGCTATATGTAATATCAAAGCCAACTTTAAAAGCTTATTGAAACATCCAAAAAATAAGAGCCAAAAAGTTCATTTTTAAAATTAATAAATCCAGTATTCCAAAACATTGTCATACAAATCTAGATAAACAAATGTATCAATCATCATGACATATCAAAGTAAATCAAGAAAATACGGAACGATCTGGTGTGTGCCCTGCAATTATCCCGAGTCATTTCTTTTGGAACTTGAAGTACCTGAAACATAGACTAAAAACCGTAAGCACAAAGCTTAGTGAGTTTCCCAAGATATCACATACTATATATATATATATATATATATATATATATATATATATATATATATATATATATATATATATATATACTAGTTGTTTACCCGCGTCAAGCGACGGGTGTGAATAATTTCTTTCAGAAATTAATTTCTAGAGACGATTAGTGTTTTTGCGAAAATGGTTTACTACATCTAAACAATTATCAATAAGAGTAATGCTAGTAGAAATGAAATCAATACGAATTAAAAACGAAAATTTTGGATTCTTTACAAATTAATATGAACTCATGATTGAATGTGCATTATAAATTGTGCAACACTTCTTTATACACCTGCACATTTAATGCATACACTTCACCATCATTGAATTGTTCGTCAGGGTTCACTAATACTTTTGTATTTGGTTTTTGGGTAATTTAGTTCAAGTGCAATTAATTCTTATACATATTGCAGTATTGAAATTATGACTAAGATCGGTATCCGTATCATATATGATTTGCGTGAAGTGTATGTGAGAGAGGAAGAGCGATGATGGTTCGGTGGTCCGACGATGATGATAGCAATGGATGGTGGTGATCAAGATGGCAAGTATAGCTTGTGAGTGTCATGTTTAGATCTAGGTGATTTAGGGTTAGACATTTATATGCATAACTTGTTAAGAAATTATAACAAATCCATTAATAAATCTCTAAGAATGTTCACAAAAAAACAGAAACATGGAGTACAAATGTAAACCTACTGAAATCCCCAACTTGAAAATGAACAGTTGGGATTTTTTACAAATATATAAGAACACATGATTGATTATGCATTATTAATCGTGCAACACTTTTTCTGCACTTTATTTGATGCATACTTCACTCACATTGAATTGTTCGTCAGACTTCTCAAATACAATTGTATTGGCTCATGATATCTCTTTCGATAATGCCACATAAAGTTTGCCATGCACAAAACTGATTATAGATGATAAATACCTATATTTGGAATTATTTGTCCCCAAACTTTATTGATTGTCATCACGAAACATAATAAAATTGAAAATTATTTTCTCTTTAGCTTGATGGGAACATGTCATTTTCAAACAGACATAGATGAATCCTTAGCAAAAATAACCTCTTTCCATCATGTTGACAAACAACTATTTTAGCAGCAATGACGTTGTGTTGAAAACATTTACATATTAATCGAGTGTCGTTACACAATCCATTTGATGAGTCGATATTTTGTAAGAGTATTATCAGGCATCCAACTTTTAGTCGTAGATAATGAGTGGGTAAATCACTAATATTGAGCGTGTTCAAGAATTCCATGGGATAGAAGTTATTTATATCGTCTTTATCCAAACTATAGTAAAATTTATCCTCATTAATCTCATCTACACTATCATTTCTTGTGGATAATATTTCATGTGAAATAATATCATTAAATGACTTATCTTTTTCAATGAACGGAATTACCATATTATTAGAGATGTGAATAAAGTTTCTGTGGAATGTATATCAAATAAAAATGTCATTTTGATTGGAGTTTTATATTTCTTTATTCAGATAAAATATTAAGCATCGATGACAAATAATATCTAGAACGCAAATTGCATACTTCATCTTTATATATAAAACATGATACATTATACAAAAAAAATGCAATGTATTATAAAATAATTTCATTTAAGGTTTTGGATCTTAGGGTTAAGGGTTATGAATTTGGTTTATGATTTATTGTTTATGGTTTAGGAATTTAAGGTTAAAGTTTAGGTGTTCAATGTGGACGAGATAAAAGTTGTTTGATGTGTAGTGTTTAGGGTTTAAATTTTAGTATTTAATTACAATATTATTTTAATACGTATAATTAGTTTCAAGGCCACTTGAATATTCGTGTGATTAAGGTTCCCAATTTTGGTGCTATTAAAGTCGATAAGTTGTATTTCTTACAGTATAATAACTATTATACATTAGTTTTTTTTTTTTTTTTTTTTTTTTTTGGTTTAATCGGTTTAATGGTACAATTCCATATTTTTAAATATGATAAAAAGGAAAAAGTTTATTATTAATAAATGAACTAAAGAGATGTAATTTTCTTTTCTCAAAAAATAGTAATTTCAATTTCTAATTTTAAAAGTTTATTTGATGAAATAATTTGGTTTAATAAAGAGGTAGTTAATGGTTTCATGGTTCCATGTGAATTTAATATTATTGATTTTGATATCGCTTTATATATTTATTATCATAATAATGTTAATATTATTTAATACACCGTTCTTAAATATTATTGTATCGTTTTACGAAGATAATATTGTATGGTTTTACAAATTTTTGTGTGATGAACGTAGTAAAATTTATACTATCACAATATATATGGTGCTACATGAATTCTCTTGAAATTGGTGTAAAACAACTATGAATTAAGTAAAACAAATAGCACATCTTATTGCTTGATACAACAATTACCAATTAAGTTAAACAAATAGCACTCTTGATTCTTGCGATGCATCGTCGATTAAAACCTTGTATTATAACTCAAATAATATTAAAAAAAAAAAAAAAAAAAAAAAAAAAAAAAAAGAGAGAGAGAGAGAGAG